TATTGTATACATAATTTAGTGTAATTTGTTAACAGATTAATGATATAATCCGTGATCACACCAAACGTGTGTCGAAGCGATTATTAGCTCTCAATTGGTTTATGTCTATATCTAGTCTGTGTTTTCGATGATATATTTCCCCACAGAAAAAAGTTAACCACAAAATATAGTGTATAATACTTGAAAACAGCTGTCAGTCAATGGTATAAATAGATAACAGATATGATAACACGTTTAGAGCGTTAAACACAGTATAAAACAGACAATATTATTATATTTGCGCAAATATGCCATATATTGATGAGTTGTGAGCCAATGATGGGTTTCAACTACTTTATGGCAAAATGCATACCAAAATTTAATGGTGTTTACAAAAATGCCCATCATTTTCATCATTTCCATTAGTTTTTTGTCCGCAAAATACCATTTTTTGAGAGGATATCGTAAAATACAGATAAATTCAAACCTAATTTAGAGGTCGAGTATGTCGTTAAATATGCCCTTTGGTTAGCATTCAGTCCGTTAACTGTTTCACAGTTTTTAATTTAATTTATGAAAAACTATTGGAAAATGAAAGCATTTTTAAAATAAATATTTTCTAAAATTTTCTCAAAAGTTTTTGTTATTCAAAACCACAAAACAATTGCAAAACATATTATTTAAACGTCAAATGCAGAACACATTTGGTGTCATAAATTTTATTCAACCAAAACTGTTACAAACAATTTTTGGAAATATATATAACATGTAATTTGTAAATCATTTGATGATATGTTGTTTTGTTAGACAAATAACATTTCAAAAATTCTTAATTGTAATTGTGTTTTGGTTTCTGAAAATATATGCGAAATCATAATATCAAAAACCAAAGGAATATATGGTTTATTAGATATAAAGAGTGAGACAACACGTCATCCAATTCTGTGGTATATGTGTTCAAACACTACAACCAATGCCAATGTTTAGTGCATTAAACGGCCGCTCTTTCCATATGTTATTCCTATCACTGAATTAATGTTCAAAAGACTTGAAATTATCCCTAAATTCTACATAAAAATCAATAATTTTAGTAAATATTGATTCATCAAAAACATTATAAATAACTACAAATATGAATTCACAAACAAATAGCTCTAAATCAGTGTTAATAGAGAATGGGAATAAGGTGAGAATAAACCATTTTGATCATATTTTAATTACAATTTTGATATATGAAATGTTTAAATTAAAATTACCACAATCAATTGTATATATGCTATGTTTGTATACAATATGTCTGTGAATATAAATAGTGATATCGTATGAAAACAAACAAAAAACACACATTGAGTTCTGTATCAATGAATTAAACGAGTTCTCAATTATTGATTGCATTGAATAGAGAGCCAAATATATTCACTAATAATTTGTATCCATATTTTTAATGAAATTTTCGTTTCAATGGTTTTTTGCAGAATAATAATGAATTGAATCGAAGCTACGGTTCTATTAATAGTGAAAGCAATACAACGAATATAAGCGATAATAACAGCAACGGATGGCTGAGTAAAGCAACTAATGGTGTCTATAATGCCGGCGCCGGAGCTGTCAGTTATGGTGTGGGAGGGCTGAAGTGGGCCCTCACGTCCACCGCCACTGTCGGCACCGCTGTGTTGAGTGCCGGCGCTGAAGGAGTCGTACAATTGAAGAAAAGGGCCTCAAAAGACAAAAATGAGTGATTTCTGTGACAAACATCACATCTAATTATTCAACAAATTCTTTATTAATTGTTATTTTTTAACTCATTTTCTGGCAAAGAGTGAAAGGAAGAGAAAAGTGTGAGATTTGAACGCTTTTTAGGCCTATTTATAAATTATGGTTTCATATATTGGCGAAGAAATGATTATTTCCAAAATTATATTTCCGTCTTGGTTCTTATCTCTAATATATTTTATTTCTTAAATATATTTATTTGAGTTTTAAAATAAGTAATACATTAACCCTTATATGTATACTGTGTTTGAATATAAAAACCCTTTATATTATTCTCGTATCCTTTTATAGTATTATTGATTTTATTATATTTAATAATTTCATTCAATTAATACTTCATTTCAATTATGATATATTAATGCGGAAATCATTTCCCATAATGTTTTAAAACATTAATATAAAAATATACTTTTTTACTCACATATTAATACACTTATTATATAACTTAAAGAGCTATCAAATGTCTGAAATTAATTTTTATATTTTAATATAAAGTATAATATAATAACGGCATAAATGGTTAAATCT